GGGCAAAAATATCCTACTTCCCTCAAAATACTGGTTTTTGCAGGTAATTTCAAACCAGTATTTTGAGGGAAGTGGGGTATTTTTGCCCGATAACCCCCCCCCCCCCCGAAACTGGCACCATTGGACGCAGAATTAAATTCTGCATCTAACCCAAGTGGTTTTAGATATAACCTAAGTGATATAGCGAATCCGGACAGGGAATACGTTGGAAATTACCTGGAAAAATCAGTACTTTGAGGGAAGTAGGGTATTTTTGCGCGATAACCCCCCCCCCCCCTCGAAGCTGGCACTATTCGACGCAGAATTAAATTCTGCGCCGAACCGAAGTGGTTATAGAAATAACCCAAGTAATATCGCGAATCCGGATAGATAAAGATGAATATGGTGCTAACTTTTCCGACGTGCAAAATTTATTCAGGAATGTGCCAAAAGGAATAGAGTGGGGGGTCCTAATACATGCACCGCGAAGTTTCGCATACTCCCCTCAGAGTGAAGTTGTAATATTCAGAATAAAAAAAAAAAACTTCTACAGCAATTTTACTATAGGAAGTCAGTATTTTTCAAAAGTGGGAATCCGGACCCTCTGCTCTCCACTCCCCAGGAGCATAGCCCTCAATTTATTCATTAGAAATTAATGTCTTATTGCGCCTCAAAGTTGATAAACGACAAATATTCGCTTCTATAAAATTTGGACGATTCGATTTCATTAAAAGATCACATTGAAAGAAAGACAAGTTCAATCATGGCTGATATAGCAGAACACATAATGTAAAACTATCATTTATTAATTTACATATATGTGCATACTTTCAAAAATGAGCTCAAAGAAAACAACCAGAAAGACCACATATCCAATAGTACCCATAGGCAGCCATATCCGACATGGATACAGACATAAAAAAATTTTCTTTTGAAAAATCTACAGGATGGAACGTATTCAATTAGCCAGAAAGTTTTGTATAAGTGAGAAATTTATCTTAAAAATTGTAATTTTTCATACGATCCAACCAAAGTTCTTTTTTTAATGATTGACTCCAGAATGACTCGACTGTTCGAGTCGAGTCACCATTTCGAAATTTCTAAGTCCGAGTCATGACTCGGACTCGCCTAGTCCTGTTATGATTCGTCTGGTTTAGCTATTGATCAAAGAAAAATAGACGAATCATGATAAATTTAGAAACTCCAATTTTATCTGTTCATTTTTTCATGTGAAGTGAATCATATTTCTTTGGCTCATATGTTTTATTCACTTTCTGCACAATCTTTTCATTTATAAACTTTTCTTGATGGTCTTAAAACAGACTACAAAAACTTTATTTCGAAAAACAAAAACAAAAATCTCTAGTAAAAATCAAGAATATTAGCACGATGCAAATCGAACAGTAGATCCCGATTTTATAACTGATTCATTCGGACAGAATACACGACTAGAATAAACAACAACAAAAAAAAATAGTATTTGATTATTACATATAAATCGATAATATACCTTTGTTGTTGATCACCATTCAATACAGTAGCTTTGATAAATGTCCATATAGGTGAATACCAAGATGATGAAATCCAATTGGTTGTTTTTTGAAAATTAATATCAATTTCAATTACTTCGCCAATATTAATTTTTAATGGAATTAAACGTGTTTGTACTGAATCACGCTTAAATGTTGTGTCATCACTAAAAACAAAACAATACATTTAAATAAATATCTAAATAAACATACTTATCAAAAACAACAGTAACCGTTTGAAGTGTACCAATAAGTGTAACACTAACTTTACCACGTGTTTGAGGATATTCTGCTCCTGATTCAAGTGTAATTTGATAATGATATACTTTGAAAAAAGAAACAAATAATGAATTTTTAATATATATAAAAAAAAACAAAACAACTAACTGCAATATGGAAAAGCATTAGCATCTTGAGTTTTTAAATAAAGACTATCTTTTCCATCTGTTGATGATGTCCAATAACCCATACGATTACATTGATGTTTATTTCCATCACATTGAAGTGAACATTTACCAGAATTAAAATCATCATAATTTGAACATGAATAACCAATATATGGACATTGATTACGAATTGAATCCGTAAAGAAATAAACAGCAGCTAAATGACTACAGAGTGATGTTTCTATGAAACCTAAATGTATTGAATCAATATAATTAACAAAAAAATATAATTTTTATTGATTGTTATATTACGTTGAACATCCATTTGACCAAGTTGAACAACAAGATTTAGTATTTTACCAGATGTTGCTGGACATTTAGGTTGATCATAACCACCATTTGGATAAAAGTCGACATGACCCATTCGTTGAAGACTACCTGTAGAAATGAATTTAAAACAAAAATAGACAAATTTTTCATCAAAATGATTTTACCAAATCCAAGAAGAAGATTATGAGAACCGTCAGTATGAATAACATCAACAAATAAAGCATCAGTCGGATCAAGACGAACTTTTGAATCAGTATTTTCAAAATAAGGACCAGCAGGATCCAAACCTTGTGAAGAATAATAAAACAAAAAATTTTCTTTTTCTTTTCTTATTTAATATCTACCAGTTATTCGTCCTAGACCAGGAATTTTTTCTCCAGCATATCCTGCCGTTTGACCACCAAGTGAATGACCAATAATATGAAAATCAGCAGCTTTAGCACCATGATTTTCAATTAAATAATTGATAAATAAAGCAATTTCAATACCAACTATTCGAGTATTTGCTGTTGCTTTTGTAAAAGGAAATCCATTACCCTTTGACCAATCAGTCATAATGATATTAACATCATCCTAAAGTTCATAGATATAGATATTCTAATATTAAATATTCTCAATATTTAATACGAACAACATCAAGTATAGCATTTTTCATATCAATCCACCATGGTGTATTAGAACTATCTACAAATCCATGAACCAAAAATTTTGTTGGTTTGGTTACATTCCATGTGTCAAGAGTTGTATAACGACTAATTTCCGTACGAGTTTTACGTGTTGCCCGTGTATATAGATAGAATTTCGTTCCAATCACATCAGGCTATTAAAAAAATTCAAATAATAAATTATGAAATAATTAAATATACAATCATACTCGATCAGGCAATAGAGAAAATGGTCGTTGTAATGTTCCACCTATTTGAAAATATAGATTGATTTGATTGTATAACAAAATAAAACTATTCTTTACCGAATGGTGCTCTCGTTGTGAAGCATCCATATTCATCATAACAAATTTCAGATGCTTGTACACTTCGAACTATAATTATGTATTTTAATAAACAATTGTGATATAATTGAAACAAAAATACAACTAACCTGAAAGATATTCATCACCTTGAACGGAAAATGTAGTAAAACATAAGACAGTAATAACAATGAAAAATAACATTATTATCGATGTAGATATTGAATGAATTTTCTTTTTTCTTTTTTATAAAGGGTAATGATTTAAAACTTTGAATGGCATGGGTTTTTATTATTACAATCAATAGGATAGACTAAGGAAATTAGATACCTGTAAAAGAAATCGAAACTTTAGAGAGCGCCACTTATTAATCTTTATTTACGACACTAGTAACAGTAATGAAAGCGTACGACAAGATTCTTTTTTTTTTTTAATGACATTGTTATTTGAGGATTAAAGTTCAAAATATCATGGTATTAGATTGAAAACGGAATAACTCCACAAATTGAGATACTGCAAAGTATACATCGGTAATTTGATCACTTAAATAAATATAAAGAATAACTAGGTCATACGATTTTTCTTATGATGAAAGAATTAGTGGGACAAAATAAAATATATCTATCATATGCGTATATATTTTAAAATGAATGATTGATCTAACATACATAGAGGTGTAGCCTGATGCACAAGTCAAGTACAACAGCGGTTGAAATTTTGCAAAACTTTTAAAATTTTTCATCTTTCAAAGAAAATCTTAAACGAAAAATATTCGTACAATACACATTAAACAAAAATTTCGAAAAATCTTTCTCAAATTTTCAACAATTTTTTGCAACAGAAGCTAAGTCGTGTCAAAGTTTTTTTTTTGCAGATATCGGTTCTAATGACAGCTTGAAATTTTCGCTAACGTGGCGTAAAAAATGGAAAGGACAGGCTCATTCGATCTATTGTCACATTGAGACCAACGTAATTTGTAAGCGTCTATAGACTAAAAAATGACGTAAATTATTGAATATGATCAATATATCATCCGAAAACAGAAAAAGAAAAGAAATTTTCAAACACGATATACAACAATTCGACTATTTTTGATTGATACAAATAATTATTATAAGGTATTGAAATATTTGTCGATTAATAAAAGATATAGTAAGATTCTTACAAAAATGAACAAATTGAAGGAGAATAATCTGGTGAAATAATCCTAGTAGATTAATCAATTGATAAGACAACCTGTTTATTGTCAGGAGTATCGAAGAGCTGAGAAATCCAAACCTCTCAGTAATCTCTTATAGTTTCTGAATGCTTAAATAAAGACAAGCCATTATTCACAATATTTTCACTTCTATATTCATAACAATGAAGAAAGGGTGAAGATCAATATACCGATGTGAAACGTATAGCAAGAAATACATCATTTTATGTATCACAAAAGATCTTGATTCTCTCGAGCGATAATCACCACTTTATTGATATTTTCCTAGTAGTTAAGGAATTCTTATTTATTAGGTTTTAGACATTACCAAAACATTCTTATGATTTTTTTTTTGAAGATTTGATAGTTTCATTGGCGTAATGAAAATAATAAGATAATATTTTCGAATTGTTACATATACGATATTAAGAAATATCTTGTTTTACAAATATTAATTATAGAAGAGCAACAAATTTTCAAATCTATTCATATATAATTCTTTTTTGTTTTCTTTTTTTTTCAATATATTCATAAACGTGTGAAGAAAGATACATACACAGAAATGAATGCACAACAAACTAACAAAAGATATCATTTGAAAAACAAAAATGTCAATAGGGTTTTGGACGAACACCGACCGGATTGGTAGAATTACCTCTAGAAATGATAAAATCATTAATTAAAGAACTATATATATGATATGATAAAATATACCTATTCAAAGCAATCCGAGGTAATTCTTTTCGAACACCATCACGTAGAAGTGCATTATTCATTATTGGTGCTACACTAAAATAAATTTTAAAAAATAAGTCAAATACAAAAAAAAATTTATTATTTTATTACTTACAAAGAATTGGGTGGTGTTGGTAAAAGACCACGTTGTTGTTCTGGTGTTTGTCTGAATTTAAATAATGAATGATTTAATTGACGAGGTAATCCAAGTGTTGAAGATGAAATTGTTGCTATAGGATTTGCTGTTGTAACAATATTTGATGAAGCAGTTGTTGGTGTTGTTGATGATGAAGTAGCAGTAGTAGTAGTTGTTGTCGAAGTTGATGATGTCATAGTTGTTGTTATAACTGCATTATTATTAGTCGATATTGATTTAATCATAGACGAAATAGGTGTAGTTGTATTCATTGGTGGTGCAGCAGGATTGAATGGTGTATTTTGTTTTTGCATGTTGTACAAACGTCTTGGACATAATGTAACACGAATTTCTCGACCAAATAATTCTTTTCCTATATAAAAAGTAACTTGTTAGCGAAATTAAAATGTGAAAACACAATGTACCTGCTGTTGCTTATAACAACAAGATTGTTTTATTATATCTATTTTGGGACACATTTCTTCGTCATCCTTTTACTTAATTCTCCGGAAATGCAATAAGAATGTAGTTCATATATTATAACAAGACGTTATTGATATATGAGCTTTGACCATATATTAACGTTTGTCACAGTTTGTAACGCAGGTTACATTATTAAGGTGTTTGTCACTATTAGAGATGTGTGTGATGAGAAAGTAAAAATTTGCCAGCACCAGAACTCAAATTTATTAATAAAATATTCTACATGGTTTCAAGCAAATTATCTTATGAATCGGAAAATAATTCAAGAGGGACGATCTCAAAAAAAGTGCTAGTAGTCGACTATAGTCCAAACAATCAAAAGTAGGAGTTGGAATTTTACTTTTTTTCAATTTCATCATGCTGTGTTGTCTTGTTTTTATATACTATGGACTGATGTGGATCGGTCAAATATTTACTATTATAATCCTATAGTAGTCCTCTACCTATGCTGCATATCTTGGAAATTTGTCTTAGTGTATATGTGTATATATAATATCAACTGTAGTGATTCTTATCATTTGATTTTTATTTGCACATTGCATTTTGTATCACATATCTTTTTTATCGTACGTATAAATGACACTGTGTACTAATATATTGCGGGATAATTTTTTATATTACGCTTTGTTTATTGTATTATGACATATAGAATTGACCTGTTCATATAGAGAGATCATAGCCACCATACCTTCAGATGAGCTTTATGTGTCATAGTACAATAAAGGAAGTGTAATATAAAAAGTTATCCCGCAATATATTAGTACAGTGTCATTTATACGTACGATAAAAAAAAGATATGTGATACAAAATGCAATGTGCAAATAAAAATCAAATGATAAGAATCACTACAGTTGATATTATATATACACATATACACCAAGACAAATTTCCAAGATATACAGCATAGGTAGAGGACTACTATAGGATTATAATAGTAAATATTTGACCGATCCACATCAGTCCATAGTATATAAAAACAAGACAACACAGCATGATGAAATTGAAAAAAAGTAAAATTCCAACTCCTATTTTTGATTGTTTGGACTATAGTATTGAAGAATTATTTTCGATGTGATACGAATAACTTCTGGAACAGTTTTCTCTAGCTCGGGATCTGAAAAAATTGACCCCGTACATCTCTCTAGTCACAGTCCATGGTTACGTATGTCATGATCCGCATTTGAAGATGCAAATTTCTATCTTGAATACTTCAACACTCCTTATAGATCATGTTTCATAAAAAGAATTGAGAAATAAATAATAAACTAATTACCATTGAAATAATTAATAGCCATTTGACATGATTCAGGATGAATGAATGTTATTGTAGCTTCTCCTTTACCTTCACGTGTTTGTCGATCTTTATAAACCCAAATTTTTGGTTTTGGTGAACGTACATCAACCTAAAATAATTTTTTTTAATCTTTATTTAATAGAAAAAAAAAACATTCTTCATACTGGTGCAATCAATCCACATGAAGCACCAAATACGTCAGCTAAAGTTTCATTTTGAATTTCTTTTGGTAGACCAGTTATGTAAACAACATGTCGTAGAAGAGCACTTTCATCACCAGGTTCTATTTAAAATTTATTATAGAAAACAAATCATCAAAATAAATGAAACTGACGAACTCAGGAAAAAAAACAAATAGAAAAAAAAACAAAAATTAACGACAACAAAAAGTCTCAACACCATAGATCGAGATAAACAAAATGTGGAAAATATAAGAACGATGCACGTATTTAACGTTAACACATGCGCACAAACATACATTGGTAGAACAATTCTATTTATTTTATAGGTTTTTTCCCAAACTCTTTCTCTCTCTCTCTCTCTCTCTCGCTCATGAAAGCAAAATACAAAACATAAACTGCTTAACGAAACAAGATAAAAAAAATACTTTTTTCACTTACCATCAAGTTCACGTTGATAGCCCCCTCGTGGTGGCAAACTGGAATACATAAGAATATATTCGAACAAACAAGATCAACATTTGTCGTCAAATAAATTTGTCAAAGAACAAAAACAAAACAAGAAACACATACAAAAAAAACAAAGTATAACAAAATAATATTTTTTTTTTTCTTAAAAATTAGCCTAAAAATAAGATTAATATTTAAATAAATTTTGTGATTGTTTTTAACTCTTTTTTGAATTCCTAGAAAGTAGAAAATCGTTCGATAAAATAAACATATTACATCAAGAATAAAATACAATCAACACATTGAACTGTACTTCACTATTGATATAAATATTTTTTTTTTCTTTTCGAAACATTAATTAAAACAAAAACAAAAAAGAAAACTTAGAAAAATAAAAAAAAAAAAAACATAACATAAGAGCGATAGAAGAAAACAATAGAAACAAAAAAAGTTTTATATTTACTTACCGATATGGTATTCGTTGAGATTGATGATGAACATAATGCATTGCATGAGGCATTTGACTTGAAGGATAATAATCCGATCGACGTGGAATCATATCCGTTGCTGATGATGCATAAATATGAGATGGTCCCATTGTTCCTGCAAGATGACTACCTGGTGGAATACTATAAGTTCCATGTGGTGGTGGAACTGATGTAGCATAAGTTGAATAAACACTTGATGATGGTGAACCATTCGTTGCTGAAACTGTTTTGTAGGGAGAATATGTAGCATTTGATGAAGGTGTTGTAGCATATGCACCTGAATGAAAAAGCTGTTAACGCAATTTTCACGGGATTAAAATGTGAAACACGATGTACTTGTTGTTGCTAATAACAGGGAGATTATTTTATTCTATCTTTTTTTAGGATACATTTCTTCACTATCTTTTCACTCAATCCTCCAGAAGTGTAATAAGGAAATAGCTCATATATTATAGAGAGACGTTATTGATATATAGGCTTTGATCATATATCAGTAACGTCTGTCACAATCTGTATGAGAAGGGAGATCAAATTTCTACCTCTAAACCTCAACATTCCTTTTAGATCGTGTTTCACAACATTTTTTTTATATACCAGTAATACTTGAAGTATAATCATAAGCAGCATAATGAGCTGATGATGCAGAAGATGATGATGGTGGTGGTGATGTAGTACGTCTGGAATCATATGCATAACTGCTATTTGGTGGAGATGAACTATATGATGCTGCATATCCAGTTTGACTAGTAGTTGATGATGGAGCACCCGTAGTAGCAGCCGTGGTTGGATAACCATAAGCTGTGGTTGGATAACCAGAATATGGATCAACAGTAGTATAAGGTGATCCTGTTGAAGCATCTGAGGAAAATAGAAATTAATAATAAAAAAAAGAAATATGTTTGATTAATTCACCCATAGAATATGCTGCTGATGTTGCATAACCATCATATGCACCAGATGTTGCATATGATGCACTTGATTCATATCCTGGATAAGAAGAATAAGCAGCTGCTGAGCTTGTATCATATGAATAATCATAAGTTGAATAATCGTATCTAAAAAAAAAACAAAAGTAAAATATAATTAAGTATACATAATCAAAAAGAATACATACACTGGTTGAGCAGTTGCCATTATTTTAAAAATAATTAATCTGAAAATTTAAAATAAAAAATTCGCCATTTCTTCATAAACAAACAACACACATCCTTATAATTTATTATGTTAAACAATTATTTTCTATCCGGATTTATATAATATTCTTTGATATATTAATAGCAACATCTTGTCGTATATATATTCCTTATCTATTAATGAATCTAACATAAAACGAGCTACATTTGTTGATGGTATACACATTACTATTGATTGATCAGAAAAATAATAATTATTTTCACAAATTTGAATTTCTTTTTCTAAATAAAAAGATCAAATAAAATTCATGAATCAATTTAATTTAAAACTTACAATAATAGGATCATTAACTAAAATAGATAGTCATATAATTATATATTCTAAATTTTTGACATCTCTTTTTCAAGATATTCTTTCATATTAAATATTGAATTAAGAATTAAAAACATAATCATAAATGAATATTGTGATTGGTCTATATTAATCATTTTAAAAAAGTGTACAGGTATATTTTTTTCGTTCATATAAAAGATAACTTTATTTACACTTTTAAATACATTGAAGTAATGCCTATTAATTGTTTTATATTTGCTTGACAACGCATAGTTGTTACTATTTGATTTAATTGAATCATCATAAAAAGTTATTGGCCATATTATATAACCAAGAGTTGATAAAACAACAGTAAATGTCCTTTCATATGTTTAGCTAAATCTATTGGATTCATCAAATTATATTGTACTACCTTGAAAATAATTTTAATTATTGATACATTTGAAAATTATGTGCAACTGCAGATGAATTGTAAATAATACACCTGAAGATTTTTAGTTTTGATATGTTCCAATTTTTTTTTTTCGATTTTGTACAGGTGCTATTACTTGATAATCATGAACTTAATGCTTGTTCAACAAGTTGTAAACCCGTAACTCCTATAGCACCTAGAATTACTATATTGCCCTTGATACTTTCCGTCGCTGTAGCCATTGTTTATGATTTGAATAGAAGAGAGGATAGGAAAAGAAAAAGAAAAAGAAAAGAAAGTATAGAACTAGCTTTTTTTATGTAGCCAATCATTGTAAATGAATACATGACATCTATCAAGTGTCCGAAGTTTATTGAGAGGTTTAACTATGACAACAGTTTTAATAAATAAAATATTTTTTAATATTTTGTAAATTTATTTTATCATCATTTTCAATAAATATTATTTCAAGAAAAAATTTTGATAGTGTAAGTGCTGTGTTAGCAATAGCAAGTTTACTACAATTAGAAGCAAAATTTACAGAACATCTATTCTCAGATTGGTAATTCCCAATTCCGGTGACGTGTGAGGTCCGTCGGAAAGATGCAGGAATATTAGAATATCTAACCGAAGAACTTCTACAATCGATAAAATTTGAACATAGTATTTCGTGCTGGAACATCGACGACTTTTTTTCGGTAACTTCCAACTGTTTTCTGTCACAAAGAACAAGTAGTTGGTTGGAAGTCATCGAAAAAATTAGTGAACATTCGCATCCAGAATGCTGTATCTAAATTCAACCGATTTTCGGAGTTTTCCTACGCTGGAGTTGTCACATATGCTTTAACCTAGGTTACTTCCGATGTGAATGCTGCATTACACATCGCTCAGAAAAACAGAGTGTACTATGTGCATTGTCCTAAAAAAATTTTCAGAATTTCAAAATCTGTATGTTATATTAAATTAAAGATGATAGTACCTATGGGATTCAAATCAGATAAAAATCTTTTGGTATAATATGCATTATACTAATGAATAACGTGAATTTCGCCATAGACTTTCCACAACTGTTGGAAGAATGTCTACTTTCATTAGATACAACCCTTACCATTACCTAGTGTCGTATTGGTGTGTTAATCATAGTAATTAGTAAATGAACTGTATTTAAAGCAGAAAAAATGCTATCGGAAGTCTATTGCGAAAGTCAACGCGATTAAATTTCTGTCTCCAAAACTAGTGGTTTATCAATAGTTGTTCTCCAACCAGCAATGCATTGGTGGTAGTGCGAATAAACCTGCAACATAGATATCACTATCATGTAAAGAAAATCTTTAATTTTGTATTTATTATTTCAACTCGGTCTTTGTTTTCTTCTCTGATTATCTTGTAAGTGCGTCTGATAGTAAAATTCTATGTGTATTTATCGTTAATTCGTTTATTAAGTATCAATTTATATTTCTCATTAGAAAAAAATATATATAAACATTATTTTATGTTTTTTTTAGATAGTTGAAAACTTGATTTTTAGGTATACTTTGTTTATGAAAGTAAAATGTAAGAAAATATTTTGTTTTAGATTTCTAGTGAAAATATTTGTGAACATACTCGAAGAAATTGCTAAGAATAAAATAGTTGTGAAGATATATTAAGAAATTATAAGAGTTTTGTAATGGATAGTTCAAAACATGGAATATTTGTTGAACGAACACTTGCTTTAATTAAACCTGATTGTATTAATAAAGCTGATGAAATTGAAACAATTATTCTTAAACAAGGTTTTACTATTTTACAAGTATGTTAGAATTTTAATTTCTTTGTTTTTTTTTTGTAGTTTTGATTATCTTTATTTTAATTAGAAAAGACGTATAACATTAACAGCTGAACAATGTTCAGATTTTTATAGTGAACATTATGGAAAAAAATTTTTTCCAAGTCTTGTTGCTTTTATGACAAGTGCTCCTATTGTTGCTATGATTTTAGCAAAAGAAAATGCCGTACAAGAATGGAGAGATTTAATTGGACCAACAAATTCAAATACAGCAAAAGAAACATATCCAGACAGGTTTTTCATATATGAATTTTTTGTATTTAATTTTGTTAATGATCTTTTTTGTTTTTCTTGAATAGTATTCGAGCATTATACGGAACAAATGAACAAAAAAATGCAGTACATGGTAGTGATAGTGCAGTAAGTGCTGAAAGAGAGATTCGATTTTACTTTCCAAATTGTAAGTGAAAAAAAGAAGACAATATAGATAAAATTTGAATTGAAATTTATTAATATATAAAGGTGTTGTTGAACCGATTCCAACTGGACCACCAGCAAGAGATTATCTTGAAGAAAATGTTAATAAAACATTAATTAAAGCATTAACTGCTTTATGTAAAGAGAAACCTAAAGATCCAGTGGTAAGATATTTTTATTTTGAAAATTATTATTATTTATTTGATCTTTTTATTTTAAAGTTATGGTTGGCTGATAAACTTATGGAAATAAATCCTTATAAACCAAAATTAAATCAAAATGAAATACGACTATCAACAAATAGTGAATAATGATCTTCCATATGAATACATTAAGTGAATCCTTAATAACATATCAAAATGTTATGAAAAACATACTTATTTTTTAAATAATAAAAACAAACGTTTGTTAATTAAAAACGTATTGATAAAAATAGTTTATAGAAAATAAGAGAAAGTGAATTTAATAAAATTGAGAATTGCATGAAGAATTATTAATAGTCTTAATAAGATATATTTAACAGATTTTTAATAGAACTTTGATGTAATTTGTTAATATAGAAGATCATAGGATACCTATCATGTGAGCTCATATTGGGTCTACAAGGAGATATTGGTAAGACTATCAAAAGTCTAACAGGGTTCGTCTGCATGGGCCTTTTGGGACCGAGTAATAATTGTCTAACTGAGTTTTCAATAGGAAATTTTGCCCATAGATGGATCAAATGATCCGTAGAATATCCAGAAATTGCAGCCGAGAAGCATATTCTTTTGTTAAGATATCAAATTTTCAATAAATATTAACTTGCACGACACAAAAATCAAGTTTACTTGAAAAATCATTATCTCGACAAAAAAAAAGGATTCTCTTTGGTTGAAACTCGCAGGATATTCTAAGGATGATAAGACCTATCGACGGGCAAAATTGCAGATCGAATATTCAGAGTAAAACGATCATAACATAACTTCAAAGTACCATAATGACAAAGTCCGTTGGACTTTTGTTAGTCTCACCAAGGCGTTCTTGCAGATCTAATATAAGCTTAAATAAGAAGTATCAGTTCGGGTAGTGCTCTCGTTAGAAATAAAATGTAATACAATATTTTTTACTAAACATCTGCAAAGTAGTCACGGTTATGCGTGACCAGTTGTTTCGCTACCATGACTATGACAAAGACCAAAATTATGAAGAAATTGAAGGTTTTAGTGAAATTTTCAATTTTGATAGCCCGAAACGAAAATCTGAACCTGTATTCAAAAATAGTAAACTCTAACGTTTAGCACTTTTTTGTAATTGTTTCACTTTTTTTTGTATCAAGATACGAAAAACTGAAAAATCATTTAAAAATGAGGCTCAATATCTGAGATTATTTATTAGATAATTCTCATTGTTAATAATAAAATTCAATCACACAAGACAAAAAAAATGTATAATTCAAATGAGTAAGATAGATAGAAATAAAAAAAAAAGAAACGAAACACAGATTATTGCCATTCGATTCACAGTCAAATAGAAAAAAAAAACAAAGTGTAAAAACAATACTTAAATAAATACTTCATATACACATCAAGGAAATACATACGCAAAAAAAAAACGACATAGAAACAAAACATCACACCGGTGATCGTTGCTTTTTCTTTTTTTTTTTTTTTTCTAAAAGCCAAATGTTTTACGAAATGTTGAAAATAATGACTGATCAGAATTCTCTTTACGACGTTGTCGTTCATTAATTAAATTTTGATAATCACGTTTTTGCATAACATTCGGTGATTCACGTATTGATAATTCTCGTTTATATATCCATTCTAATTCACTTTGTGTTGGTAAAAATGCATTTGATTCTTGACGTTTTTGAATATTATTTTTTTCATCATTTGTTGAATATGTACCATAGAGACGTAATCCAAAATAGCTCAATTCACCTGTATTATCTTCCATTGCTGATTTTATTGATCCATCATTCTGTGGTGTACGGGTTTCAATACGTAATGTCCAACGACCAATTGGAGATTCACCCCATTTATGTACGGACATAAATGGAAAATATTTTATACCTAAAATATATATATATATATATATGAACGATTTCATTCATTAGCTGCCGTGATACAAAAAAGAACAAAGGTTTTCATTGTACACGTTTCGATTTACAAATATTGCCAGTTCAAAGAACATTTTTGAAACTTAAATCATGCGTTTTATAGAGGACTCTTCTGACTACAAAATATCTGCGTAGAGGTTTTTTTACATAAATTGATGGAAAAAGAACTTGTTTAAAGAAGTAGCCCTTATAAAGAATCAAAGTCAAATCGAAGATGGTCGTGTCCTATTTTTGATGATTTTCTTCATATACAGGGTGATTCAAAAGTAACTCGACAGTCTTTGATTGCATATAGCTTTTGATATGCATTAAATCATATATTACAGATTTTTCTAAGATGTTTTCTAGAGTTTTCTTAATCAATTTTTCTAAAAAAAAACTGTCGGAAAATTGGTTTCTTATAAAATAAGAAAAATGCAAAAAAGTAATTTTTTTTCACAAAACTGCATAGAAAAATGGGCTCAGAATTTTCAGTAGAATACTTATAACTTCTGAAGGAATAACTCTCAAAGTCTGACCTTTGTACAGTTTTGTAGATTTTCGACTAGCGATTCGAATGGACACCTGATCATAAAAATTCAGTATAGTCATCTTATGAAATACACGTCGGTTTAAGTCCTTGAAAAAACTAGGTCAGCTTATCTTATATTATACTTGTTCGATGTATCTTCATCTACTCTTTCAAACAGTAAAAATCGCAGCTCTCTATCTTGTTCCTATCAAGAGTTATTCGCAATCAAAGATCACCGGATTACTTTTGGACGATTGTGTATTATATTAATTTCTATTTTTTTAAACATTCTTTTCATCTCACTAAATAAGATTGTCAATGAAGATTCTGATAAAGTTAAAATATCTTTTTAATAAAGCCCAGGATCGAATCCAAAAAGTTCGATTTGTTTCAAAATAAAATTCTACTAAAAGATCTTTTACGAATGCCAAACTCATTATTAGTCATCTTTTTTCTTTTTAAATTTTCATTATCAGTTAACAAACCTTTCTTTCTTTATCTATACTCTCAAGGAGAAATGAAGAAAAAATAAATAAATAAATACCTTTTTTCGAAGCATCATTATCTCGATAAGAAATCATTTCTGAAAGTGTTCCACTTGGTGATATTAATGTAATTTTGACATCACCACGACGATGAAAACTAAATGATACATTAGCTTGAACATGTTCAAGACTTGTTACATTTTCACATTTATCAACATCAATATGTACTTCAACAGTAGCATCAATAGTTAATGGACTATAAAAAAAATAACAATCAATTAAAATATTTCAAGACAAAAAAGAAAAATTTAACAATATTCCTTACACACTAGGACCTTTATATTCATGATAACAATCATATCTTGGATTAACATTTGTCCAATTTTGTGCTAAAGCAATCATTTGTCCAACATCAAGTACACCAAAACCAAATTTATCACTAACATGAAAACCAGCTCCATTAATCATCCAATCATCTGTTTCAGATAAATTTGGTATACGAGATGTTTCAGCTATAATATGCATTACATCACGATATGTTAATTCTGGATTTGCTTCAAGTACAAGTGCTAAAGCTCCAGCAGCAACTGGTGCAGCACCAGATGTACCAAAAAATTTTGTTGTACATTTTCCACCAACATCAGCAGCAACAACACCTACAGGAATAAATGGTTCACGAAATGAACGTGCATGACGACCACCAGTATAAGCAACAGCCATTGTTGATGGACAAAATTCACCAAAATATGTTGTTTTACCCAAATGATTTATTGAACCAATGGATATTACATTTGGATGAGATACATATCCATCAGCACCACAATCATCACCAGCTGTTCCACCATTACCTGATGCCCAAACAAATAATATACCTTTACCTTGACGACCCTAGAATTAATTAATACAAAAAAAAAATATTTTTAACAAAAAAAACAAAACCTATTTACATGTGTAACACCATAATCTAAAGCAGCATTAACAAGTGTACCTGGTGCTTCCATTTTTGTTCCATCATCAGTTGGTCTAAATAGATATCAATTATTGTTTTCGATTTAATAAGAATAATATTTATTTTACCCCCATGATGCACTTTTAATAGATGTATTAACAGCATATAATGTTAATGCACGTGCTTCAAGTAACGTTGTAATACGTCCATCAAGAAGTCGAATACCTAATCGAATTAAAAATAAAACCAATATATATATATATATATAAATAAAAAACAAAGAGATGACTATACGTTTTTCGACTATAGAAAGACTTTATCTAGTAGGGTATGTCAACGGTACACAGTAGAACTTAATAACACATATCCTACTAGATGAAATCTTTCTGTAGTATAGTCACCTTTTATATTTTATCTTACCAGCAATATATGAATTATAAGCAACACCAACTCCACATATACCATTATTTGCTTTACCAGATGATGCTCCAGCACAACGAGTACCGTGACTAAAATAAAATGTAAAGTAATTAATCAAAAAAAAAAGTTAAAAGATAATAGAAAAGAGCGAAAAAGAAGAAGAACATGCATTAATATACACACACACACACGCATACATCATGCTAGTTAATTGAGAAATCTTAGTGTTATATATTAGTAAAAATTCTATAGTATGTTGCATTCTCATCTTACTTATTTGCACTATCATAAGTTCTTGGACTTGGATCATGTTCAGTATCGTTAAGATCATTTAAATCATAACTGAACTGAGGTTGCTATGCGCATAAAAGAATATCAATATCCCAAATATATGTGTATATATATATATATATATATAGAAAGATTATATTCTGTTTTTCTCCCAATTAATCAAAAGATAGTAAAAAAAATCTATTCCCCAAGAACCAAAAAAGTAAATCATTTCTTTTATACTTACATATCGATCATTTAATTCTGGATGTTTATGATCAAGACCATCATCAATAATAGAAATTGTAATACCTCTACCAGAGTATCCAGCTAACCAAGCTGGAATAACATTAATATCATGATTTGCTGGAGTATTTAATTGACCTTCATTTTCCTAATGGAAAAAAAATAAATCTTTGGTATAACAGAAGGAATAGTCGCATTGTGTATCTCATCATTCAATACATTCTATTTAAAAACAAATAGGATGCCGAGTCAAAAGCTTTACAATTCGCCAACATAAGTTTATTTGATATATATACACTTGGTCGAACAAAACTTTCGTCCATTTTGAATATAAAAAAATGCATCCCATGTTATAACAACCGATCGAAAGTCGTCGATTTTTCTGCTGAAATTTTTTAATTCTTAGAAAAATGTCAGATCTTAGACGAAATCGCATTCCTATAGATTTTTGAACGCACTGAAGTTGTCTGTACTAGATATTAGAATTTTCGATTAGATGCAGAGCTTTTCCCAACCATAAAATGTTCGATGTTCTACCAATTTTTTATCGCTTCGGAATAACTTTGAACAGCAATGAAATTTTGAAACATCATTTGCTTTTCTCTGGCAGAAATTGAAATAAAAATAAGCAGACAATGTCCTTGCAAAGTGAATAGAATTAGGGAGACCCCGGAGAAGAAACGGCCTAGTGGCAGACGTCGAGTCATGATGATTTTCACTCTACCTACTTTCTGTCGGATTTGTAGTTCCTCCCATCTCTAGAAACTATTGACAACTCTGCTAGCTACATCGACTGTTCTAACTTGTTTGCTTAGTATAGACGACAACACAAAAATATTCAATAGTCGAAAGATAAAACCAGTAGAAATAATGGTAGCATCATCTAATACAATATCCTGTAATCCATAAAAGCTGTCTTTTTTGGGATGAAATCGATGTTTTCACTACAGACGAAACCAAATTAATAGAAAAACTAATCAGAAATTGATATAAAATGAGTAAACCCTCTGAACGGACGATTTTACCAAAGAAATCATATGGAATATGTTCAATAAACTTTTCTTTATATTTTCACGCTACAATCTGTAATATATTTTGTTTTTTTTAAAATAAAATGTATCGAGTGATGAAATGCAAAACGTGACCATTCATCCATTATATTCTATTCGTTAAAATTTTGATTATAAAATGATAACATGAATGATATACTTACTAAATACCATTGTTTCTTATAATAAGTATCATCAAAAGACATTTTAAATGATGAATTATCAACAACAGATTCCGTATCAATAGGTAATTGATCATATTTCCAATGACGATATTCTTTATATAATTTTTCTAATGCATCATCATTGATAAATTCACGTTTATGTCTTTCTAGTGATTCACCAACAGTTATATATTCAATCTTAACACACAAAAAAAAAAAAAAGAAATATTTCTTCGAAATAAATCTTATTTGAATTACTCGTTCATCATGTTTTAAATCTTCAATAGTTTCATCAATAGCACGTTTAGATCTTCGACCATGTTTTCGTTCAATACGAAAATGATGTAAACCAATTCCAGGAATCTATTTTTAAAAAGAAAACAAAAAAATTAAAATAAATAATCTTATTTAATAATATTTACATGTCCAGCATTAAATAAATTTTTTTCTTCGGCTATAAGATCTGCTATAAGATAATCTCGATTATCACCTATTAATCGTACACCAATATCAATAAATTCAACATCATTCTCTTCTTCATAAGTATTAACATTTAAAACACATAGAAATAAAATAAATAAAAAATTTTTATGCATCTAGAAAGAAACAACAAAATAATAATAAACAATAAATATCAACTACACTGATAATGTATTTTTATTTTTTTTCCATAATTGTTTTAAATATATACATTTCTTTTCAATAATATCTTCTGGTTCTTTATTAGCTGGTCTCATCCATAATAATGGATTATCAACTTCCATTAAACCTCCTAAAATTTCTCGACCAAAATATAATGGAAATTGACCACGTTCTTCAATCATATGTGCATAACCATAAAGATTTTCATTTTTACTTTTATCAACTGGAAATTCAACACAAAAATATGGTAAACCTTTTGGTATAACAGATTTTAATGTACGTGAACGATGATGATTTAATTCAATAAGTTTTTTATTTGTTGACCACATTGATTCACTTTCAAGTAATGCTTTACGAAAATACATTGGAACTAAATTTGCTTGTTCTATTGGAACTGGAATACATTCAATATACATATGTGGTAATAAACGAGGATTTTTAAATGTTTCAATAAATATTGGTAGTTGATTATGATGTTTACGATATAAATCAGTTAATTGTTCTTTTAATGTATCAAGTTCAGAGAGAACATCATCGTCTAGAATAAATATAAAAATAAATATTTGTTAACTGTTAAATAAAATTAATTATCATTTTACTTTATACATGGTACCTTTAGTATGTGAGATAGTTCAAGAAATGATATCTTATCGTTTATCACACATAAAAGCTGTTTCAAAGCAGAAAATTGCTCTTTATAAACGGCATTGAAACGTTACTATATGTGTCTAATCACTGCATACATATAATAACATTTCGATGCCGCTTATGAAGGGTAATTTCTTGCTATTTCCTACTTCAAAAACGGTGTTCAATTATGATAAACTGTAAATTTTGCATAAAACATACTGGTTTAAATGATAAAATGTCATTTCCCTAATCTACTTGGGTAATCATATGTATTTCAATCTGCTCTATTGATTAATAAGATTACCTAATGTTATCAGTTTATTCTCCTAAGTATATTTTTTTTTGAAAGAATATCTAAAGAACAAAGTACAATATAATATTATGCATGTGTAGTATTAAAACACATATTGCAGCGATTCAAGTAAACTTCAACTATACAATAAATGCTTACATTGAGTTTGCGCTGTTAGACAATATAACGAAAGATTTATGTTGTCAGCATACTTGATTAGTTGTTCTGTCCTAGAAGCGTGGGAAGTGTTATCATAGATTATTTTTGAGATAATGATTTCCTTATGAAAAAAACAATCAAACAGAAAATACACTATTCTAATTAATTGTTACTATGCAGACTCAAGCAAAATGATTTTGATTATGTGTACATATGTTTTGATTGCACTATTTATTTGCTGACCCGGTGGCTACAAAGAAGTGTTAACCATTTCTTTTCTTTTTTTCTTTAGCTGTAATATGTATTAATTCAATATAAACACTTGATGACACGTTTTTATCTTTGTTCAGGGTTATCGGTGGGAAAAGAATAGAGGAGACTTTCCCTTCTGAAAAATTCCGAACTTTCTAGAAAATCTTTTATAGTCTCGTGGAAAATAATAACAGAAAGGGAGTTTTAGCTGTACTTCTGACACATATTCTACGTTGTAGAATGTCAAATTTGACGATGAATTTTTAAATTATATCACATATATTATCTATTGTATCGCATTTTTTTAAAATTGAATCTATACGAACGAAAAGAAAAAATTGACAAGTAAAATTGGATACAATCATGATTAATACTTAATTACAACTACATGATTCATTTATTTATGCGTTTTCTTGAAAAGCTTATTCTACTCGCACTTCGGTAATAGATCATTATTTTTATCATATATAAATCGTTGATTAATTTTATTATTTTCTGATTCATATTTATATTGTTATAATATCCCTGAGAACGGCATTGTTATACATATCGATATCTTACCTAAATGAAATCGACTAGATGTATGTTGAATAGGTACAATAAAACAATGTCCATCAACAAGTGATTGTTGTGGTGGTGCACATAAAAACCATTGATCCAGTAAACCAAAAATAAATGATTTTGATAAATTTTCAATACATAACCAACATTGTTCAAATGTTTTTTGTCTTTTTTTTTGTTCAGCTAATGCTTGTATACGTGACCAACCAGATAAATGACGTGTTGATGTTAATAACTGTCGATCAGCTGTCATTGTTTGATTATTTCTATTATTTGGTAAAACAGGCATTGTATTTGTTGTTGAATGTCTTTCCATTTCAACAAGATCATTTAATGATAAACCTTGTCGTTCTGGATCTTTATCATTTTGACGCATTTTTCGAATTTCTTTTTTCATTTTTCGACGATCACGTTTTTCTACATGACCATATTGACGTTGATGACCTGGGTCATGTGCATGATGAATAGGTTTTTCAACACCATAACGATCAATTGTTGTTAATACAAGAACTTTTGGATCATTAGATCGTTGCTGTTGTTCAGTTGTAGAATCATGTTGTGAATTACCACGAAGATTATCAATATTTTTAATTTCATTACGAAGTAATTCAGTCATTTCCTAACAAATGAATATTTTTATTATTATAAAAAATAAATTAATTAATTAAATCTTACATCATCACCAGCAAGTTCTGCTCGAATAAGTTGTTTTCGTAATTCTAATAGATTTTCTTCGGATATTAAATCATCTTCTTTTGATTCAACATCAATTGTTTTTATTTCTTCTTGTTCATCTGTACGTGCTTGTTTTTTTGATGTTGATTGTTCATCATCATCATCATCATCTGTTGTTCTTTTCCATGATTTTTTCTCATGATGATGATGATGATGCTGATGATGATGATGACGATGATGACGATGATGTCGATCATCTTTTTCATTTGGATCAAGAAATTTTTTCTTAGAAGATGAACGATGATGAAGATCATCAGCATCATTTATCAATGACATTAATTTTTCCATAGACTAAAGAAAATAAATTATTGAAGAGGAAAAAATAAAACAATGAAATTTTTATTAAATAACTTACACCATATCGTTGTGAAACAATTTCATTTAAAGGACGTTGCTCATCTTTTGCTTGTTGTTTACATCGTTCATAAGCTCGTCGATGCCATTCAAGACCAGCATCACCAACTTTAGTTGATTTTGAATTTTTAGGTTCAATTGGTTGTTGACGTAATGCTGGATTTAATTCACGTTCATTCAGAATTGCCTTTTTATTTTTCAAAGAAAAAAAAAGTGAAAATCAATTAAACAAGTTAAGTTTCAGATGCTTCTTTCATGAAATAAGAACATCAAATCTGATGGTTTATATGAGTGATGTAAAAGACACACGATAACCATAGTTATATCTTAGGATAGGAACAACAATTAGATTTGAAACATTCACAAAAAACTATTCTCGTTAAGGCCTACCTCTATACAAAGTTTCAAGTAGAAATTTAAAAAATCAGTTTTTCTGGTGTTCATGAGGGAGACTACGATATTTATTTAAAAAATATCGTAAAAGTGCAGTGTCTCAATAGCAATAATACTCTTTTCACGGTATCTACAGCATATTTCAGTCTGCGTAATGCACATAGTTTCGACTCAAAAGCAATTTGAAAAGTTGAAGGTATTTCCTCCTAAGACCGGGATCGTAAGTAAGCCCGGTATTTTTTGAAATGATTTTCAAAAAACCCTGAAGATCTGTTTTTAAAATTTTTTCCTCGGACACGGACTCCATCATTTTCAATTATCTAGCTGTGATAAAAATGTGAGCCTGACTGATTATACTCTTACGAAGAACTAGAAACAGTTCAAAAGAGAAGGAACATATCGGTAAGAAACTGACTTCCATTTCAGCTGTCGTTTGAGCTTTTTTTATTGCTTGTTTGTTCTCTCGTTGATAACTTCCGATTGAATCAAAATCAAATGGTTCAAGAGCAAATGTTACTGGTGCAGGTTTTTCTTTTTCCTAAATTTTCAAAATAAGGAAAAATTCAAATTTAAAATTTTTTTCTTGTTTACTAATTGTTCTAAATCAGCTTGTGTTGGCATTGTTGGTCCTTTAACCACAGCACCACCGGGAACATCATTACTATTATCATTATGACCAATTTCTTGCCATTGTTCTTCATTCTAAAAAAGTAAACCAGACGATTTTTGTTTATTAATTACAAAATCTTTTTCATCTAACTTTGTTTGAATTTGATGATGATGATGAAGTAGAACGACGGTGATGATGACGGTGTTTTTTATGTTTATGCTCGTTTTTCTTCGATGATTTATCCATATTTAATTACGTATCGATAATTCAAGTGGGTATAATATGAAAAATTTATATTTCTATAAGAAAATTTATTCATGTCAAATAAGTTTGTTTTGTAAATAGTCGATTAGATATAAGAAAAAAACTAATCATAAAACGTCATGAAGATTTGTGTAGGTGTTTGTGATGACAGCATGAAAGAAAGAGAAAGAAGAAGGGGGACGATGTAAAAGAACACCTCATTAATCATTTACAGAAAAAGAAAACTTCATCGCATGCCATAAGTCTCAATTGATATTGCGAAAAAAATAATAAATTGTATCTGTAAATAGGTCAATAAGAAGTATCCAATGAAAAAGAATATAGTGATAATGACATCTATAGATGGATAGAATGAAGTTTTTTCATTTTGACTTTTTCTTTTAAAATAATTTTGAGATGAAAGAGAAAAATCAAATTTACGAATTATTGTCCTTATAATGGTTGAAATTACTTTTGACAATATTTTTATATTTTTACTAGGTTTCAATTGAAATGAAAATAACTTCATCTCTTAAGCTGAGTCATATTGTAAACAAACTCAATGTCAAACCTATAGAGACTTTTTTCTGTATATTTTCTTATTCATCGAAAAATATTTATAGAATTGACGGTTTTATTTTCCTATTTCATAGTCGAGGCATACCGAAATATTGGTTATCGATAAATGGTTGATTATCAAATTAATAGACGATCTTGAAACAGATCCTGAAGCTCATAGAGCTTTTTTAATTTTGTAAAATATACCTTTCTACTCGGTCTCATACAACAGCGAGTGGATTTAATGTCTTGAATATTTTATATTATGTAATGTGAGCCAAAAACAAAATGAATAGAATGTGCAAGTTCAGTGAAAGCGATGTTTTTCATAATCAATGTTAAGGCAGCAACGATGCATAAATGTCCATTATCGATAAGGATGATCAGTAGATTTCTATGAATAATAATTCCAATCATCTTCCAGAAGATGAGGTTTTTATTGCCAGTATTTTTCGGATAGTATAATACATCAAATAGAAATTGCAACATGTTTCGACATCTATTCACAAGGTCGACGAACGATGAACTGATCAGTACGAGGAGACAACAGCTAATGTCAACTGCTGTGTGGTAAGATTCATCGAATTTGACAAGTTATTTCTGTTAGATCATAAAGACGAAAAGAACTCCACATTTCCATTGCTTCTTTACTTACAAGTCTATCGATTTTCGGATATTATTAGCTTCTGTTTTGCAAGAGACCACAGCTCTCTTTGACCGTAATTCTGAGACCTTACTCATTCATGTCGAATGATTATATTTGATGCAATATGTACTTGTAACAGTACAAAACGATAAACCAGTTTCGTTGTGCACACACATTTGAGTGAAATGGTTAATGACAATGATGATTAGGTTATTCAAATGATTACCAATGACGTTCTTATTCGCTACAACAAAATAAAATAAGTCCACTAGGTTTTCATAGTTTATTTATTGTTGACAATATTGTGTGTAGATTTTAGTGCATTGTCTAGCCACTAAAATTTATTATCAATGTAGCTTCACATCTAATTGAATTAGTCATAAACGACGGCAGAATGTTGTGAAATCATTGTTTTCTAAACTGAATGAGTTTCAACTATATGAACTGCTCCGTTTTGATACAAATCGTTTATTGAAAACAGCAGATAAAGGTGCACCCGAAATTAATTGTCGAATGCGTTAACTTGTCTATGGTTTAACATAGTGAAAGGAATTATAGAATTGATCTTCCACAGATGTTTAATCTAGTGAATTTGTATCGAGAGCAGCTAGCGTCGACAACATCGACGTTCTGGTTAGTAGAGATGATACTTAACCTTTGAAAAAATTTTACTAAACCAGTTAACGGCAAAGTGGCATATTGAACATTTTAACTTTTAAGAAGTCAGAATCAAAGTAATAATTTTTGTTTTTATTTCTCATACCTCAGATTTTGATAGGACTATCGTAGACATTATTGCAATAGGAGTGATTTCTTGTGATAAGAAAAAAGCTTAGTAAAGCTAGAAAATACTCACAGATTGAAACATTTGGGGTAGACTCTTAAAACTATATACCTGCATTAGCAAAAAAATAACTACTGATTTTAGGTAAATTTTACTGTCTCATTTTGTACTTAATGATTATTCAACTTGTTGTGCTATGAGTATCTTCAAATATCCTAAATAGCGTGGTCTTCTTCAAAAATCTTTCTGAATCAGTAGGACTAAGTGTTCTGTTAGCGAATATAACTTTTGTTTCAAAACTTAATTGAGTAATAAAAAAGATCTAGGTGTTCTTTCGATAGTCTAAAAGATCATTTTTGTCTACATTAAAATCAATTTAAACCATCTATATTATATTCGGTAATATCAGATTCAAACAACGTCGAATTGCTATCTCGATCAAAATCTACTAGCATCTTTTCTATATTTACAGATTTTTCTTATTGGCACATGTTTGATACCAACCTTCTTGAGGATCTTTCTTAAAAACCAATATATTTATTGATAGTACGACAAAGTAGTAAAGATGAACGTATCAACGAAATTTATTTCTCAAAGCGCTTATTTACAGCTTTTAATTTCATTTCGGAAATATGACTTCTTATAGGAATAAAAAAACAGGATCAACAGAAATAGTTTTCAACTGAAGTGGTATCTGACATGTGTGGATAGAGAGATATATAAATTTCCTAAAGACGCTTATAGATTTTGATATAGAAAAATTTCTGTAATGGTGAATCTATCATTATCGAACGTGAAATAGGTGGTTTGTATCGAATTTCAATTAAAAACATAGTTGTATCAAACGTGAAAGTTGAATTCAATAATTTAATAATTGAAGTAAAGATAATCAACAATTCTGAGATGCTACAGGCACTGTGCACACAGAGATGTGTATGGATTGCGGCGATTTGCACCCCCACGTCGTGATGTCGATATAACAGGTCATTTAGGCGGGGAACAACGCTTCCTTCTGGTAAATATTCATGATGACAACTTTGAATTATGGAATAAATAAAAAGGAAATGAGACATCAATTACTTGTCGGGTGTATCCGTCTTTCGCGTCACCAATAATTGAATAGTTGAATTTAACTTTCAAGTTTGACATATATGGTAAAAAAATGCTTTTTGGTCGATCAGACGAGTACCAAAATCTTTCTTATTATTCAAGTTTTGAAAATAATATGGTATTCGTGACTAAAACAGTTAATCCCATTTGTTAGAGAAAATCTTGAAGAGTACAGAAAAACATTATCCTCGCCGTCACACCTTCAATTTTTTGTGTTCCAGTAAAAATCAACTTGTGAGTGCTTCATGCTATATCAGTAACAATTTTCTTGTGTTTTGTTTTAGAATGATGAAAGTAACGAAAGCTATGGATATGATCAAGAGAAATCTCTTAGAAGGACAGAGGTATGTTCAGATTTCCAAAAAAGGAAATTACAGAAATTTCCGAAGCTTTCATCAGCTCGATAACTACATAGCAAACCAAATGAAAATATTTTGGAAATATTGGAAAGTTTAGAAATTTTAGAATTTTCTGTAATTTCGGAAATTTCGCTATGTATAGAATTTTGGACATTTCAGAAATTTTGGAAATTATATAATTTTGAGAAGTACCAAACAATTTAGAACACAAGTGCTTGAAATTTCCAAAACTTCCGAAATTTCCTTTTTCGGAAGTCTGAACACTGCTGGAAGGACAGAATAAGAGGAAATGAAGTCGAGGAAAATAATAAGCAAGATGCGTACAAGTAACCTTGACCGTCATAGTTCGAATGTTGAACAATGCACTCGTAGTATCATCTTCAACCAGCATCCATATATTCATCTGTCCATGCAATCAGAGAATGGTATACGCACATGTGATAACTTCATTCAGTTCGACTCGATTTGATCTAATTAAATACAATCGAATCCAATTGATGCGAGTCAAATTAATTGGCTATTGGAATCAGGTTCAGATTTTGGCATCCACTATTGTCTAAATGTGGCAAATTAGAACGCACTGGGTACAGGAACGATTATACATGAAGGAATCAATTGTATTTATGCTGAATGTCGAATATCAATTACAGGAACACTCTAAGTTAAAATGTGTCGCATGTGTCGTGATTCGCAACACATTCCACGACACGAGGTGCTCGTTGCGACACATTTTCTCCAGCAAGCGTACGACACATCCGACACATTCTGAAATCGCGGTTCGAGCCTAGGTTTCACCGTAGCTATAATTTTGTTTTCTTTGATGCATTATATCCATCAATATTTAATTAGCACAATTAACATCAGTGTTTGATGCAACACCGTTAAAAAGTCTGATCTTGAGATCCAACCGTGCAAGACTAGTCAGATCTTGATCAGACTACTGCCAGGTAGATCTCTCTTAAAGTGAGGTCATTATTTCTCGAAATATTTACAAGAGATATGTAATCGAGAAATATATTATATAAAATGGTGCATGAAAACTTGTGATTCTCATGTGATAGTTCAGATAGATTATATATAGATATACACGCGGAACAAAATAGTGAATGAACAGTCGTCATATATGTACAGAACGGTTAAAAATACGACACATTAAAGTGCGACACATTTTCTTGCTGGAACCCACGACACTATAATTTACGACGGAAAAAGTCGACACATTTTAACTTAGAGTGAAAAGAAAATGTTTTATGAACATGTCTGCATTCAGTTTTTATTCTGCATATTCATTTAGTCCTTCACACATGTGCTCATTGTGGACTGCGTCTATTTCTCCTTTTTTTCGTCGTTCTATTCGTGCTGATGCATTATTCGTCTTTGTCTCTTGAACGGCTTGCGTTGCCAAAGCAAGACCAATTGGTGGCATGTTAATATAGATCGCTTCATACTCCCCATCTTTTACTTTGTATGTTTCATGCCATACTCCATTTACGCCACTGAAACGATCATGCTTCATATACTCCAACATTGTCTTCACATGGATGCC